AACTTGTACATAATAAGTCATCTCATCAGTAAAACAAGATAAAAAGCTCTCCAGTGACTCACCATGCTGCTACCTCATGTCTTAGAAGTGCTGTATTGGTCTCTCTCCTTCCTTGCTAGTCGCGAAGCGCTTAAAGAAATCCTTCTTGAAATTCGACCAACTTATGACACTTCCTTCTGGAAGTCTAGTGTGCCACACTTTAGCTGCCCCACATAGGGTTAAGTGGAAGGCTCAACATTTCACAGCATGAGTGAAACCCTTTAGGCTCGTGTGAGTTTTGAAGCTGTTGAGGTACTTCACTAGATCGTCTCTTCCATCATATTTGGGAATTTCGGGAAGCAGAAGTTGCTTGGGACAAGAGCGTCCCTAATTCCCTGGGAGAATAACAAGTTGTCATCATCGTCATCGAGGTCACAAAACCTTTGTGGTTCGTCATCCCCGAGGTGGTTGAGATGGTTTTGCTTGATTCCTGGCTAGTTTTTCCCTCCTCTGACGCCTATTCTTAGATAAAGGATTCTTAGGCAGATTAAGTAGGTTCATTCTGTCTTCTAAACTGAGGTGGTCCCTGCTGCCTATTTCTAGGTGCAAATGGAAGCCAATTTTGCATATTTCTAAGCATTCATGGGTTTAACCTATCGAAGACACTTATGGACATCTTCATGTTCATAATTTGGATGAAAGGAAGCCAATTTTGCATATTTCTAAGCACTCATGGGTTTAACCTGGCGAAGACACTTATGGACGTCTGCATGTTCATAATTTGGATGAAAATTGAATGAAACCTCATTTGGTCGATCGGTGGCATAGTTGGTGGATGTATCAACTCCAACTTTCCTTTCTTCAGGGGCTTCTTCCTTGGGGTAATGTTCATAGTAAGGACTTCGGGCAAAGAGAGGACTTCAGCCAAATGGAGCTTCAAAGTAAACAGTATCGGCTTCTTCCTTGACTTTTTTATCTTGACCACTGAGTCTTTGTTGATTTGGACAGATTTAACTCAATGTCTCCATGTGGACTACAGCCTGGCCTCCACTATGAGCTTCGATGGCGAGGCGTGACAAATAGTATTAGGCAAGGTTCTAAAATGTGTAATGAATAGCAATGCATTTTAATCGAGTATCGAGCATTACAAGAATATGCGTGCCTATACGAAGCATATGTGTAATTATGCGTTTTCCAATTTTTAATATTATTTTAAATATTCTAAACTAATAGATAAATAAGATATATTCTTTAAACTTTATCTTCAATTTTTTTTAAATATATTGCTCAAAATCATAAATATTATAATTACTTGAACTTTATATACATTCTTCAATTTTTTAACAAAAAACATAATGATCAATATCATAAATATAACAATAACTCGGTAATCAATTTCTACAATTAGATTAGAAATGGACATTAGTTTAAAAAAAGATTCTAAATATTTTCTAACTCTTTGTCGAATTTCAATTCAAACTCCTATTCATCGAAATCATCTTCCGTGTGATTCGATGTAAAATCATCTTTATTAGGTTCCCTTATTTCAATTTGAGAATTTCTATTACCTTTTTTTAGATAATAAGATATCATTATTAACCTTCTCCTAATCATTACACCTATCAACAATCCAAGATTGTTCTACATCACTTGCTAGTAAAACTGAATAAGGAGGAGGCTTGAGCTCGACGTAGATAGTTTGCAACTCTAAGAAAAAAATTATTATGCTTTTTTATTTTTTAAACATCAAAACCTACATATTGCTGTATAAAATTTATGGGCATGGGTGATTTGGTTAATTTGATATTTGTTGGACTCAATTTTTTTTTTAAAGTTGTAAAAATGGGACGAGCTTTGCTAGGGGTGTCCAAAAGTCCCGAACCGAATCGAATCGAGCGGTTATTCATAAATTAAATACCCGAACGGGTACCCGAATCGAGAACCGATGGGTTTGGGTCGGGTCTCGGGTCTAGACCAAGAACCGAAGAACCGAATAAGAACCGAAACTAAATAATTTTTTTATTTTTTATATTGAATTAATTAAATTATTTTATTTTTTT